TAGGTTGAGGAATGCCGTGATCATCTTCGCTTGATATACCCTTGTTTCCTGTGTTTTTAGGTTTTTCTGGTTTGTTACCTTTACCAACCTTTTTATCAGTATTTTTATATTCATTTGTATCGTCCTTTTTCCCTTTTTTACCGGCGTCAGTTTCTGAGCGTTGACCATCCTTTCCATCCTTAACAGGCTTTTTACTATGTTTCTTCACATTTTTCTGATTTTCTATATCACCTTCTGATTTTCCGAAAGTTTCTTTTCCGTGTTCGGTTTCTTCTTTCTCCTTATTGAAAAGGTTCTGGTCTCTGCTTGACTTTTCGTCGGCTGAACTTGCTCCTCCTTTTTTCTCTTTCTCTGTTTTGTCAAGATCCAAACTATCGTCCTTTATGGGAGGAAATTCTATTTGATCACCACCAGGCTGTCCCGATGGTCCCCGAGGACTGCCGTCTTCATCGCCGGTTTTATCGCTCTTCGGCTTACAGCAAGTATTATAAAGCTCGCACAATGAGTCTTTCCTACTGTAGTTCTCAAAGCACGTTATAAGATGTTCGAACAGCTCATCGTAGTCTTTCGGCTCAGGAATTTGCTGAGCCTCCCGCTGCTGCATCTCGATCTCGAAAGCTTTCTCAATTGCCTTCGGGTCTTGTTTGTACTTCGTCCACTCATAATCTGTGCACACATTTTGGGGAATACCACATTGCAGATCGCAGTATTTGTATCTTCTCCTTAGTCCATATTTTTGCTTTGTCACCGGTCTATCCATATCAAGGGCAGTGGCCAAACTAATTCTGGGCTCGCTTCTGGCAAACGGATATTGTGCATCGATTGGAAGTGGGCAGTGCAGCACGCTGAATGCCTCGCTTGCATTGATCTTTCTCTGTACAGTGGGCATGCCTTTGATTTTTTCCTGTAGTAGCTCGCGATTTAAAACAAAGGGTCTACAATCCTCCCTGGGTAGCGGAGGATTGGCTGGTTTAAGTCTGCCAGAGTTTATTGTTGGCATCTTAACAGCCGTTGCCTTTCGCATTGCTCGCGCTAACGCCTTTTGGAACTGTAATGCCTCCTTTTCCGGTTGGCCTGAGCTGACCCCGTAGTAGCTCAGATTCTGTTTATCGAGGCTTTTATTCCAGACCTCGATAACATCGTCTTGCTCCATGTCAAAGTAGCGACCGCAGCCGAAATCTTCGGCCTCGCTGTATAACCAATCCACTGTCTGCGCATCATCGCACTTGGATACTGCAGGTCTGATGTTGGGATAACTTTCGGACTTTACAAAATTGAACGTTTTGCAGTTATTCTTGCGTATCACATCGTAGGGAGTTAGCTGCTGGGCTGGAGATAGTTGGCTCTCTGAATGAGGCTTCCCTGTGTGATCTACATTGGCACTTGTTGATCTCGAATCAATATTTTGAACCGGAGAATTTTGTTGTTTACGCATTTTGGTTTAGCCGTTATCTGATGGACATAGGATTAAATAAAATTTATCTTTTTTTTTAAATTTCTTTTACAAAATTTTGTCTGTTTGACCAATCCAAAGTTGTCAAAAACTTACTGAAACTGTAACGAAATTTACCGAAAAAGTCGACATCATAAATTCGATTCGAGAGTGTTTTGGCTAAGGCAACCTTTTCTTGGCTAGTCACCAAATGAGGCCTGTTAAATATTTTAATAGCTTGCCTGTGCCAAAAAGGATTAGCCGAAATCAGCAAGGACAGGCCCAGGCTCAGCTGAGCAGAGCTTTAAGAGCAGCGTGTGAAACAATTAAGATAATCACCGTAGTCATTTCCGTTTTACGCTTCCTACGTAGCCCGTAAAATTTCCTGGCAGAGACGAAACTCCACCAGCTGAACAGGTGTGTGTGTGTACCTCCCCCTCTCTATACCTTTCTCCCTCTTTTTCTCGCACTACCTCAAAACCTGTTACATTATTCACGAAGACAAATTTGCCCGATTTAGTTTTTAGTTAAAAGCAAATTATGGCGCTCTAATGACGGCGCAGTTAAGCTCCGCGAAGCAGCACGTGTAGGGGACGCTGATGGCAGTTTTCAATGACATTTTATGGGCTGGCCTGGCGCCAGGGGAACACTTACCAAGCCAAGATTAAAGAGAATGAGGCTTTAATTGCCATGGCCTGCTCTTTGATGGCCATTGAGCAGCGCTCCATCGTGGCCTTCATGATGATGTGTCAATCAGCGTCCTGCTAATGTCCAAAGTGTCCCGCCAATGGACTGAGGTCTTTGTGCACACAGGCGGGCTGCTGGCAGGGCTAAGCATGTTCTTGGCCAACAAAGGTCAGCCTTTAAACCGTTTTTCACCTGTTCTGTGCTCCGGCGCTTGGCATATGATTGGGCTACGCTCGAGCGGCCTGTAATCGGCTTTGACGGCTCTGCCAATGTCTGGTAACACAGTGTCAGGATACTGATGCCATCCAGCTAGTTGGCTGCCAAACTCAATCCCAAACTCAAACTCGATCTCATCGCTTGTTGGCTTAACATGGGTCAAGGTCAAGTTCAAGCAATAAACTGTCAGTTCGGCCGATAAACATGTTTTGATTTGGCCAAAAATTGGTCAATTTTGCGAATTGAATTACGTTTTGTTTGTTGTCAATTGGGAAACTTTCTTGCTTTTGTTTTTAGCAGGTACAGTTTTTATGGTATGTCAAATGAGAATTATGAATCGAGAATATTTTTTATGGCAGACTTTTGCTTAAATAAATATGATTATTAGATTATAAATGTTTCGGCAGAGATGCTGTAATATTGTAACGGATTCTTTTCATATACGTAGTACATCTGGTTCTTACATACTAACTAACTTTTAACTTTTTAATACAACTACTGTTAGTAAGTATATCTTTTGGCATACTTAATAAATGTTGAATAGAACAAAAAAGTCATTAAATACATAAACATAAGCCAAACACTTGCATAGATGTCAAATTGTAAACTTGTGTATACAGCTAAATTACAGACTTATTCAACTGACAATTCAATATGTTCTCAGAGTTATTTATTATGGTTTAATGTTGTCTTAGTGCGAATATTATTTTATGCACCGCTTTGCACATTAATCATTGCCAAGCAGTCTGTTGCTAGCATTAGAATAAGCACACATACATTTGTACATATGTACGAGTATATCAGAAGGCTATTGATAATATTTGCTGTGCATGGCGCCACATCGTGATCATGTACATATATCTAAATGCTCATCATAAATAAACAGTGTGTGCACAGAGACACAAATATGAATACCCACACAACACAGAATGTGCACTAGTGGTATTTTGTCCATAGTTATCCAGCAGTATGTCAAATGTCTTAGAGTCGACAGCGCTACGGGTGGCACGACAGACTGTATCTGCACACACACACACACAAACACACAGAGAGAGATAGAGCTTCGCTTACTGACTTGCCCCAAAGTTAATACCAAATTCAAGCCTCAGCCCCCTTCCGCAGCTGCTGGCATGTGTGTGTGTGTGTGTGTTTGTGTATGTAGCATGCATTTTAGAGGACACTGATAATCCTGAAGCTGATTTTGGATTTGTCATTAAACGCCCAGCGGGATGACAACAATGAAGTCCACAGCAGATAAGACACTGCCCAAGCTCTGACATTGTCATAGCAACCGCCACTCGGGCGATGCAACCGCCACTCAGGCTGTACAGAGCCGTTGACGGCGGAAGGGGGGTAACGGGTAACGGGAAACAGAGAACGCGGATAACTGCTAAACTGACAACAAAGCCAAAACTAATGTCGTTCACCATGTCTCGCCAAACAGTCGCTTGTTCTTGTCACAATCTCCCCTCTTTCTCTTAATCAATGTCGCCATCTCTCCCATTCTCTCTCTCCCTCTCTCCCTCTCTCTCTCTCTCTCTCTCTCTCTTTCTCTCACCCCTTTATATTTAAGTTTTGCAGAACATGTTGCGTGATTATCTAACTATCGGACTGATTTACATTTAACCCAGTTGAGTAAGCAAAAATACCCTAGCAGAGGGCAATATAATGTTGTCATGGAGCAAGGGAATCCTATCAAATTCATATCAACTTATATAGTCTTTATTAGATGATAATAGTCTGTTATTGTCTTTACTAGCTGATAATAAAGTCTGTCATGACTCGAAGTTTGTTGCAAAATAACTGCAACTTATTTACAAGTCAATTCAAATTCTTAAATTTCAATGTATGTCTTAAATTGATTTTGATTCTTATTTAAGAACATAAACATATTAAATTAGTCTTCCAAAATTCTCCAAAATTATACTAAGAACGTAACGAAATATGATCCGATCTAAATATGCCCAACAAAATTTTCAGAATTTAGTTTGCCTTCAATAAAAATGCGATTTGTCTAAATAAAAGAAAGCCTTTTTATGTTAGTTGAAAAAAAAATTAAATCCAAAAACCTTTAGTCTTTAAGACTATATTTAACACAAAATTAAATAAATTAATAAAAAAGAAAAGCTTTTTGGTTTTACAGAAATCGATTAAGCAAAGTGAAGTTTCTGAAACTAATGAAAGTTAAGCAAAGTCCAGCTCGCATTTGATTTAGCCAGCAAAAGCAAAGTGCATGTCACATTCGACCATGGCCAAAACAGACTTCTGCTTTCTTGGCATTTTCTATGCGGTCTGTGCTCCGGCTCCTGTGTTAGCTGGGTTGATTTGCTGGGTGTGTCCATTGTGGCGCATTGCTTGGCAGTTGTAGTCCGCACCTCTCGTAAATCCATTTTGTGATATTTAATTGAAATATGGTGCCCTGGAGTAGTCTGGCTGCCAGTTGAGTATCTGGTTGTCTGGCTATTCGTTTGCCCACTTATTTGCGATTTACGAGGCGGCCAAATGAGTTTTGTGCGCGCACTCAGTGGATTAGGGCTTGGGCAATGGCTTCGATTTACGAGTAGTTTTAACGAGTTGCTGCGACTCATAAAGCATCATTTTGGCCATGGTTTATGCTAGGTAATTAATAATACCCGGTTTCTGTTTCGGTTCTCTTTATTTGCAGGACGCCAAGTTGCGGCAGATTGTGACGATGGGGCCACAGGACACACTCGAGGAGAAGACCGTCACCATTTGCCATGGCTCCGATTTTGTCAACATGACATTTGTCAACTTCTGCTGCACACGACGGGACATTGCCCAGGTAAGAAGCAACAAGCAAAGGGGTGAATTGTACCGGCAGCAGGAGGGGGGCTGCTGTCATTCCTGGCAAAGCTCCAATGCCAACAGCTGCTCATTATGGCCAATTGACAACTTGACGACAATTGAAATGCGAGCATTGAGGGCCCATCAAAAGCTATTTGGGAGCGTAAAACTGGGTCATCCACACACACACACACACCACATACATACACATTCTTGCACACACACCTTGAAACTCATTTGGGAATTGTGAAATGGGTCGTAAGCGCGAGACTGAATAAGCAGACATATACGAGTATTCCAAATTTCCATTTCGTTCGCAATTTGAGACAGTTCCGTATAGCACTATATTCTGAAATATATTATTTAACAAATTCATTATCTTTATAGGCTTTTTTCATGACTTTTTTGATTTTATCATAAACTAGTTTTTATGTTTCTGTGAAATTTTTTGAATACAATTTTTGTTTTTCTTTGTAATTTAACAATGATTTATATATAATAATAATATAATAATTATTTATAATGATAATGATTTATATATATTTATAATTTTCTTTGAGATTACATTTGTTTCTAGCTTATAAATCTGCGATCTTTATAGTCTTCTGTCCAACTTTTACTATTACATATTCAACTATATAGAGGATAGATGCTTTATCTAGTCGATAGTCAAACTCTACTTCCCATTCAATCTGACCTTTATAGCCGCTGCTTACTGGACAGTATTTATAAGTGTTACAGATATGTAGTTCAATAGTCCACCTGCCCTACCGATCCATGAGACTAACTACTCTATATCCAGGCTATCTATCAAAAACTCTGCCCTAATAACTTTATAAGGCGAATTGTCTACAATAAACGGAATTTGGAACAGACTCGTAACATGCACTTCAGTTCAGAAAACTGAGTCTGTCCACACACACACACCCACTCACCCACACACTCTTTCTTATTCACACACATACACATTGTTGGAGTCATTAGGATACATTGGGGCACACCTGGCGCCAGTTGTTGTGGGGCTATTTTTAACCGTTTGCCGACTGCGCGTAAAAATATAAGTGACTGTCGAACACATTTTATTGATTTAGCATAGGTGGGCCACGCCTTTTCTATGTCTGACTGGACAGAAAACCGAATACGCTTCAAAATCGTATCGCTCGTATGGGAATACAAAGTAACCCAGCCACGCCCCCTCCCCCTCCCCTTCTGCCCTGGCGCGCCTCGCGCATAGAGGTGACCTTGCTCTTGCTGGAGCTGACAGCTTTTTGTTTGGTTTTTGGTCAAAATCAATGTTCTATATTTTATCACGGGCTCGTCTATCCGGGCCGCAGCCAGAGCCGGACACGGACACGGACACGAACGTCGGTGCTGAGCAGCGTGGCATGTGCGTGCATGCATGTTATTGTTATTATTTTTGGCACGCGTCGCCAGCGTTTCTATAAACAAAATCGAATGCCAAAATTTCATAAACTTTTACGGCATTTCGGGCCGCACCAAAATATAATCCGCACAAAATAATAAATAAACATGCAGCTTTAGCACACACACACACACACACACACGCGCGAAAAACGAAAGAAAACTGAGTGAGGTTATTTTGGTATTTGTTTTAAATATTTTGGAGAATATCAAACAAATGCAGTGAACATGAATGTGCTCTGTAGACTTGTCTACCAGCGAATGCAAATGCAAATGCAACTGCAATTCGAATCAGTCAACAGCTCGACTCGATGTATGTGAATCTGTATGGCATTTGAATCTGAGCAATGCAATGAAAATCATTTAGCATAACTGTAATCTATATCAGATGCAAGTCTCCCACTCCTTGTCTGGCCATTGGAATGTAGTATGCCATGGGCGTGTGTAATCTGATATTTTGCGCTTGGCAAATTCAATTAGTTCTGTGTTCATGCTGGAAGCCTCTTATAGAAATACCCAATCAGTTGCTAGAAGCTCATTTTAAGTTGAATTTTGAGCATTCGACCTTTCTGGGTCTAGAGTGGAAGACTATAGAAAATTTAATTGAAATACCTTTTGTTAAATTGCAACAAGTCAGCAGTGTGTTAAAGGTGTCTACAGTTGCCCTAAAGATAACATTTATATGTATACATTTATATATATCAAACCTAAATTTGCCAATGGAATTAATGCTCAAACGTAACTAAATCCCAATGTCAAATTATATTTACAAATATTTATTTATTTATTTTCATCGTATCAACATTTTTTTAATTTGTATCAATATTTTTTAGCATTTGGACCACTGTGAATATTCACAAAAATTCAGAGTGGTTGTGGTTGTCATGTGATATGTAACCTCCTCCTTGCTTTCTCTTGCATCTCTTTTATCAATTCATCTCATCCTCCCACTCAGGTTCTAATCGCATTCGCCTTACGTTCCCCCTCACTTCCTCTTTCTCATTTACCTTGTGCTTTCTTTCATTCGCCTTCTCCTTCTCATTCACTTCTGTATCCAATCCATCTCCACCTCCCCTTTACCTCTTTCTCCCATTCATCTCCTTCATCTATTCCTACTCTCACCTCGCCCTAACCTTCATTTCAATTCTCAATTCAGCTCAATATGTTCCGTTCACCTTTTACTCTAAGTAAATGCAACTGTAACCGTAAATCAAAAAACCTTTTCATGACAATCAATCTTTAGCTTGTACCCTGCGTCCCGTTAACTCTTGAACTTATTTTTGAGTTTGTGTAACTTCAGTTGATTTATTTGCTCGGCTTACAGTCGCCGACTCTATTATGTACCGTGTCGCATCCATGCTGACCTTATCGCCCTCTGCTTGCATTGTCTTCTTCCAGATTTGGACGGACGGGCTCATCAAATTGGCCTACAGTCTGGCCCAGCTGAACGGCTCGGCGATTATGTTCCTGCAGAAGGCGCACACAAAGCTCTGCCTGCAGGTGGACAAAAGCGGACGCATCCCAGTCAAAAAGTAATTGCCACTGTAGCCCGCACAGAACCCACACAGAACCCACAGAGTCCCAAGCAGTAAGCAGGCCATGGCCCCGAGGTTGGGCCTCTTGTGGTTGGGGGCTCTTTGGCTTTTGTGCATTGTGTGTTGAAGCATTTGACAATATTTGTTAAGTGTTGGCTAGAAAATTGAAATTTACGCCAATTTCTTTTCGTATTTCCCTGCTCTTCTGTCCCCCCTCTACTCCCTCTACTCTCCATCGACGCAACAACTCAATGTGGCTGGAACGTGGCTCATGCATCACTGACGCCAACGCCGACGCCGACGCCGACTTCGTCGCCAACGCCGACTACATCATCAACACGAACCACATTGTCTGGCTGGACAACGAACCCACATAATAAAATCAATCCAACACCAACCCCCAACCCTGGACCGTCTGTGTGCCGTGTTGTCGTCCTGGTCGTGACCACTTTAGCATCATTAAACTTTTTGCGCAAAATAAAGAGGATCGGAAACGTGTCGAGAAGGCGTTGGACGTGACCGGTCTGCCGTCGGGCAAGGTCGATAGCATATCGGTGTCGAAATTTCAATTTGAGGACTTTTATAATTTGTACAAATATCTGACGCAGCGCTCCGAGGTGGAGCGGCTATTCGATAGCATGTGAGTACCGTTGGTCAATCAATTGGATTGCAATTCAGTTTTCTTCTTCTCTGATTTTACTTAACCAATTCCCAATTCCATATCTATGCAGCGTGGGCAATGCGAAGCGCAAATGCATGTCCGTAGCGCAGCTGGTGGAGTTCCTTAACAAAACGCAACGCGATCCGCGCCTCAACGAGATTCTCTATCCCTATGCGAATAATGCGCGCGCCAAGGAGCTCATCCAGCAATACGAGCCCAACAAGTTCAACGCGCAAAAGGGCCACCTTAGCTTGGATGGCTTTTTGAGGTAAGCACCCACGGAGGGAGGCCCCACACGCTGGCTGGCACGTCCTTAGGCCCTGCGCCAGGGCCTGACAGCTTATCGTTCTCGCCAAACGCCTGTTATAGTCACTTGACGACACTCCATAGCCCACAAGAGGGCGCCGCTTGCATATGACACGAGGCCTAAGACGGCAACATCATCATCACAATCATCATCATCAGCCAGTGGCACACTTCACTGTTGCTCGGGCGCGAAGGACGCGCGCCATTGTATCCTTCACATATCACATGCAACATATGCAAAATAATATTAAAGGAACAAAACATGCATGCAGCAATAGCGAGAAATACGCAGCGAATAAAGCTGCTTCATGTGGGCCAACGTGTTGAGCTACTCGATTAATAGCTTTGCGCAGAACAAAATGACAAAGGTTTTTAAGGGAAATTGAGAAGTTTGATAGATTGAGGCAAGGAAGGGAAAAGACTTATCGAAATGAGTTCATTATTTGAAAAGAAATAACAATTGTTGGTTTTAAACAGTTTAATATAATATAAGTAACATATAAGTACTATCTGTAGTTGACAAACATCTGCAGACCCTTACATTTATACCAGTCTTAAAAGACAATTAAATGTAAATTCAGCTTTCCATATGCTTAAAGTCTTACTAACTTTGCAATTCTCTATATATGTATCAATGTTTCTCTCTCTCGCTCTCTATTCTTCACTCTTCATCTACCTCTATCTATCCTGCCTCTTACTCTGTATATATATCCTTCTCCTTCTATCTCTGTCTATATTTCCTCTCACACTCGATATTTGTCTATATTTCCTTCTCTCTTCCTATCTCATTATCTCTATAAATTTATCCCTTTCTTTCTTTCTCTCTCTCTCTCTCTGACATTTTGCCGCTCTCCCTGTTACTCTCTCTAAATATTTCACACCCACTCTAATTTATTCTCTTCCCCCTCGCATTTCAGATATCTGATGGGCGATGATAATCCCATAATGGCGCCCAACAAGCTCGATCTCTGCGATGATATGGATCAACCGATGTCGCATTACTTCATCAACTCCTCGCACAACACCTACCTGACGGGTCATCAGCTGACGGGCAAGTCATCTGTGGAGATATACAGGCAATGCCTGCTCGCCGGCTGCAGGTGAGTGCTGAGTGCGGATTACTGAGTGCCGTCCTTTGCCATGCCGTGCTGTGATATGTTGTGGCATGTGGTTGTGGTCATTTTGTGAAGGCGGAGCTATGCTGCTTAATTACACAATTAAATCGACACATGCGTGTGCGCGTGTGTGTGTGCGTGTGAATGTGTGGTCAGTTGGCCATATTTTGGATGCTGGCCGTGACCTTGTTGCAATGTTGCGCTGACGTATGTCTGTATATGTGATGTGTGAGCCTTCGCACACATATGCCACACACTCATTATGTCAGGTGCATGCGTGTGTGTGTGTGTGTGGCAATTTTGCGACTGCGCTGCTCTTTAGTGCAACGGAAATTGCATAGTCGCCATTTTTACGGCCGCCATCAACAACATGGCGTGCTGCTGATGCGCTGCATCCGTCGCAGTCGACGTCGCCGCTGCAGTCGCTCGCTGACTGCGCTGCACACATCACAAAATTTATTGACGCACAAGTTATTGCAAGGACATGGCGAATGATTTTGATTGTTGCCATTGACGTTGACGTCGCTCTTGCCGCTTTGACCGCATTATCTGATAAACACTTTTTTATGCGCCGTCATTTTGTGGCCATTTGCGGCGTCAGTTAATTTGATGGCTTCCAATTGTTTGTCGATATCAGACATTGCTTAACTTCTTCTCTTTTTTTTGGCTCAGATGCGTTGAGCTGGACTTTTGGAACGGACGCACCGAGGAGCCGGTAATTGTGCACGGCTATACGTTTGTGCCCGAAATCTATGCCAAGGACGTGCTGGAGGCCATCGCGGAGAGCGCATTTAAAACATCCGAATACCCTGTGATATTGAGCTTCGAGAATCACTGCAATCCCAGGCAACAGGTAAGTCCAACACACAGTTAGTTTGGGGCCAATGATGGGCGCCCGCATTTCGACAGCTGCCGCTGCTGTCGAAAAGTGACTTGTCCTAAACTAACTGTAACGAAACCAACCCCAACCCCATGGCCCCTGCCCTGAACTAACAGCGTGCGCTGTGCTGAAAAATGAAATGTGGGCGCATTAGGTATGTGTACACGAAAAGCACGATGGGCACGAAGAGCACGAGGCGCTTGACTAGCTCGATTGAGCACAAAGTTATATATATGTTATTAAGGAGTATAACATATGATTGAATAGGCTTTTACCGGGTGGAGCAAACGTATTTTTTCATGAATAACAATTATTCTGCTTGTGAAATTTATTTATTTAATCCTTTAGCACTATTCCGTCTAATTGAAAAAATTATAGCCGTCAAATAGTCACCGCTAGAGTTGTCAGTTTTATGACATTTTACATCACTCTTGGCAGAGCTTGAGGCGATAAATGATTGCTCTGCTGGTGAATATTCTCATTTACCACTTCAAGAGTCAAATAAAAATTCAGAAACGGTTAAGTCATATGACAAAAATGAGATATTGAGCGACACGGAAATAATTTCCTCATTCTATCGTTCATATGTTTACTTTCGAAATACCAAAACGAATTGAGATTTGGCGGCTATAGCTGCAAATAGACCGATATAAATGTATCACCCTGTATATAAATTAAGTGAAAATAGCTCTACATAAATGGGCATAACTAATAAGTGAGACGAGTAGGCATCCCTTAGACATGAATGATTATAGTGTAGTGAATATAAATGAAGTCAACTCATGCAGCTTAATCTAGTCATCATAACTTGAAATCCCTATAAATGCAAACTAGCTTCGATTATTCTAATATGATACAAGATTAAACTACCTTATCATACCTATTATCTTCACACTCCTTTGCCGACTTTAGACACATGATTTGCCTTAACTGAGCAGAACTCTCTAAGAGAACTTGCCATATCTGAGCAGAGCTCTGCCGCAGCTAAAGTCGACATCAAAACGCGGCTTAACATGTCTAAGCTCGACTTAGAACGACTTATGTCACGTCAACACGGTAATCACGCTCAACAGGACTCAAATTTTCTGACTTCGTGTATTTAGCAAATATTACAACACGCTCGAATCTCTAACAGCGCTCGATCCCCTACCGCCCTAGCACGTTCCTGCTCACCTCTCCCCCCTCTCGCATTAGTCAAACAATTCGTCAGAAGGCAAACAGAAAAAAAAAAGCAAAGCAAAAACTTACCCGTTCACATGTATGTATACCCAACCATCCAGAGGGATTCCACAGTGCCACGCCCCCGGCGTGCGCCTACCATCCAACCAGTGTGAGCCCCGCCTCCCCACTCAAATATTGCGCAGCTCAGCTGCCGTGTGGCTGAGTAAATCTCAGCAGCTACTCGAAAGGTAATTGCCTGATGCTTTAGCTCCACGAGATAATAACAAAGGCAAACTTTTTTAGGGCCACGCGGGGCTGGCGAACAGCTGCACAGGTGCAGGAGGCGGCACAGGCATCTGGTGAAAGTTTTACCATTAAAAGTAGTTACATAAACTAAATTTACCATAGGGAACATGTAACTAACATAGGCAGGCAGGCAGGCTGGCATATTTGATGGAGGAAGGGCGAGGGGGGCACCATGAAAGTTGGCCAGCTGCTTACGGAGGCTGTTCATCAAATTTCAGTTAACAGCCAGTTAGCCAAACTAATGTTGTTGCAACATTTTGCAGGCAAAGATTGCGAACTATTGCCGTGAGATCTTTGGCGATATGCTGTTGGATAAGCCGCTCGATTCGCATCCGCTGGAGCCGAATGTGGACTTGCCGCCGCCCTCTGCGCTGCGGCGCAAGATCATCATCAAAAACAAGAAGAAGCATCATCACCATCATCATCATCATCACAAGAAGCCATCGTCGGCAATGGGACAGGGCACACCAGCTGGCGGCAATAAACTAACGACGGCGAACTCAGGTGAGTGGCCACATGGCGTATGCGTAATGTTTTTTGCGCTCTTCTATTGTGTTTGTCAGAGCTGCTGCTGCTGCTGCTGCTGTTGCTATTAGTTTTATGATCCCAGTTTGTTGTTGTTGTTGTTGTTGTTGTTTAATATGCTACAGCATTGAGCTGCTTGTTTGCCTAGCCCAACTCTCGGCAAATGTAAATGAGCTCCAAGCACGCAGCTGTTGTTGTTTGCTCTTCTTCAACTTTCTATGCGGGCTTAACTTGGATATTGAGTTTTCAACTGATTTCAGCTTTGCTTATTTACTGTTTCGAAATATGATTTAAAAAACGTTGCAGCGTTTCATTAACTAGTTTTTGGTAAGCGAAAAGTTTATATATATTGATTTAGTTGATGGAACTTTCGTTTTGCTATGCAATCAAACTGAAGGCTAACTTGCTTAGAAGCGGTTTTAGAATCATCATGTCATTTGTGTTTATTTTATATTTTCGATTTAATATGGTACTCGAAATAAAATTTAAAACTTTACAAATTTAAATTATTTCGAGTTGATAAGTTTTAAGTTTATAGCTAAAACTTAATTTTCTTTTTATTTTATTTTATTTTATTTATTTATTTATTTATTTATTTATTTTTTTTTCAATTTATAATCCTATCATTTATTGCAATACCTGTTCTGAATAGATTTTGGTAATTCTATAAAAAAAAAAACTGAAAAATCCAACTATCATAATACTAAGCATCTCTTAGGCATGACGAATTCGCATATCCAATAGTTTTTATTCAAACTGATAAATCGAAAATAATTCTGATGTCAAAGTAATTTTTGTAAATTATTTTTAATCGATTTTTATTTATTAATAGATTAAGCAGTACATAAACAAAAATATTCCTACAGCGTTTAACCATTTAAAAATCCAATTAAAACTCAACTCAAAGACAAAACATCGTTTCATATGGCACAGGCTTTGCTGCAATTCCTATGACAAAAACTTTTGATTGAATTGAAAGCAATTTCCAAAGAATAAATTGCTTAAACAATATGGACAATTTAAGTGCTTGCTGAAACTTTTATCACTTAAAAATCCAATACAAATTCCATTACTTGCACTTGGCTATCAGCAAACACTTAAAATGTAAATTAGTTTTAGTTTTGCATAATCTGGTGCATGCTTGGAGCTTGGAGCTATTCAAGCTCGCGCTGATTATAAACATAGATCAAATCAATATTCCTGACTTGCAGCCATATGTTTGAAAGTTCTTTGAAGTGTGTCTACTACTCCAGCAGCTGGCATTTTGGTCTCTTGTGCTTAAGTTTGCCTGGCACATGTCTAAAGTTTTATTAGTACTTTACATATAAATGTATTTAGTTGTGCCAAGTCCTGGCTAATGGGGCAGAGTCGCGTCTGCGTCAGCGTCTGCATCTGTTGCTGTCGCTGTTCCTGTTGGTGGCTGCAATTCGTGCTGGCGTCCATTTGCATGCACAAGTGCACAATTTAGCCATGGCTGACACTCCATGCCATTTTGCGGCGTTTCGCTCCCGCCCAAAGGCGCCCGGTTGACATCCTGCTCATGAATTGCGAAAAGCCAATTTATAAATGCAAATGACTTTTGCCACTGCCGCCTGCAGTCGCATTCCCAGTTGGCCTGCCGCCACTCTCTGCCAGCAGCTCCCATTCGAGCTGCACACAGTTTAAAATGTCTGGCGCTCATTGGAGTGCTCACAGCGCCGATCCCTCTCAGTCGACCCAACCTAATCCCAACGCAATCGAGCAATTGGCCCAACCAACGCCTCTCTTGGCCGCAATTTTCAACTTTATGCAATTAATTTATTTCATTACACACATTTTGCATTCAGGCAACGAACACTTTTAAAAGCTTTTCGCTAGATATACTGTAAAATAAAAAAACAGGAAATAAATATATATATGTATATACCCTATAAGGAATTAAAAGGGAGACCAGGTTAAAGTATTGCAAATGGAGCAGAGATGTTGTTTAATAGAATCTTCCGTGAAGTATGATAGAGTTATACATATTTTTTTTTAATTTCTTCAAGAATATATCTAGATTCTTAACAAAGATCTACTTATTAACTTCAAATAATTGAGTCTGGTCAAAAACAGCCAAAATTGGTAATATTATATTTATTTTAATTATGAATAAAATTCAATTGAGATTCTATAATTTCCATTTAAAGTCTCCTCAATTAATTTTTGATTATTAATTATTTAGTCTCCTGCAAACTCCACTCATATTAATATATATTGTCCAGAATATATGCTTTGGTTGTAAATTTATAAATTTTAGCAACGCTAAAGCTTCGCTTAATGTATGTTAATTTAATTCTGCTTAAAAGCCATTTCTATTCAATATCATTCAAGCCAATTTCTACGATTTCTGAATTGTTTTTTCTAAAAGCAAATCAAATTCAAATTGGTGTAAATTAATAAATTAATTTAAAATATATATATATATATATTTGTTTAATATTCTTCCTTTTTAACAATGCAGAAATTTATGTAAAATTAAAGTTTTAAATTCATTTACCTTTTATGTTGAATATGCAAAAGACAAAACCTCGAATTGAGCTTAGGTTTGGCACATATTCAAAACCTTAAAGAGCATAATATATCATACAGACATATATTTTATATATCTGTATATATGTATGTACATAAAGGGTATCTGAAAGTCAAATCCACTCAACTCTTTAGCATTCGAATTGTTATTTGTTATTATGCCATAATATATCTACCATTTATTCAATAACTATTTCTTTTTTTTTTTGCAGTTGATGCCGCTGCCAAGGCCGCAACAGCGGCAGCAGCCGCTGCCAATGCTCAACAAGTGGCTGCCGCTGCGCAGGACGAGGCTGGCGCTGGAGCCGGACGGACACTGACAGGCGCCGCAAATGGTGACATTGTGAGCGGTGCTGGCGGAGGACATGCGCCGCCATTGCAAGTAAGTTTATATCTGTTTGTGTGAGTGTCACTGTGTGTGTGTGTGGGTGTGCGTGTGTGTCTGTGTCTGTGTGGGTGTGGGTGTGGAAATGGCATGCCTGTAATTGCATTTAATAGCAGCGCACACGCACACACTTTCCTCTATTTGCGATGCTTGTTGCCTCTCAGCTCCGCAGGACTCGGTTGATTTGTCGCACTGTTTGTCTGCCCTGCCTCCCTCTTCCCACAAACAAAATACGAGCTCCCCCGCGTGTGCTTGCTTTGCTTACTAGAGAACGAGTATTCAGTTGTTGTTCTTGATGTTGATTGTCATCGTTTGCTGTGTTTACGCTTTGAGTTTACATACATCGTAATGACAACAACCTCGAGCTCCCTCTCCCTGTCTTCCTGCCAGGCTCACTCAGACATGTGGCAAAGCTGTATAAATGAATTTGAAGAGCTGCTTGATGACCAGCAGCAGTCAACGAACCGTAAAAACGAGAAAAAGAGTTTGTCACACACACACACACACACACACTCACACACAACTTCCTGATCCAGATAAAGATGCGACAGAAGCATAAAACCTGCTCTCAAATGAATGCAGCAATATATTAAGGCTCCCTCCTAAGCTCAGCTCTTCACATAAGCATTTAAATGCTTAAGCGCAGTGCATGTTAATTGGCTTTAAGCCGTTTGCCCTTGTATAAGTGTGAAGAATAATTGGGATGGGATGGGACATATAGTTTAGATTTTCGCTATTTAGCAAGTTATTCAAGTCATTTAAATTATATTTTCGATTGGTTTACTGGTTTATTTTACTATATTTATTTATAATTTATTTTATTTTATTTATATATTTATTTTAGTATTCTATTTTTTGTAGATTTTAAATTATATCTGACTACGTTTATTTATATTTAATTTTAGTTTATTTATTTTTATTTTAAGTTTTATTTTACTCTCTTTATTTATACATATATTTTTTTTAAATATTTTAATTTTTTTTTACTATATTCATTTATGTTTTTATTTATTTTTTTTTATTTTATTTTTTTTTAATTTTATTTATTTATTTATTATACATAAATACAAATAGTATTTATTTTTTTTTTTTTTTTTGTAAATTGAGGAAAAAGGATTTCTATGTATAGCTTTTAGACTGTTCATCGATATAGATTTCTTGGAAATGTAAACGCAATTGATTACAAACATTTCTACTTAAATTAAATTGCTGCTGACAAGTGAAGGAGACTAAAGAAGAGCAATACTATTTCCAAGAACTGTATTTCTGCAGCTCTTGCATTTATTGACGACTTTCAACTGTGTTAATATTCAATGTAATTTGACCTTTGATTTGCAGCAGAAAGCAAGGCTAATTAACCAAATTTCATGTGTTCAAATCATGTCTATAATAAGCAACATATTGTACAGAGTGAAACTGACATATTTTATGACTTGAATATAGTTCGATATTAAAGCTAGTAGAATGCGTATAATATCTCAAATTAGTGTTCAATTGATTGCACTCAATTATCTCATGACTCTTGGTAAGTCGCAAAACTTACCTTAAATTCCCTCTCGAAGCTTGGTTTAATCTCAGCTTGTGCTAGCTTCTCAATTTCCGAGAACTATATGCATTTCCCTATTTATGTGCATCATTTCCCCTCTTTGTTTTTTTATTTTTTATTAAACCCAAGACAATATGCCAGCGGCTGCGTAATGGTCTTCATATCCTGGCAGAGTACTCAGTTTAATGGCTCCGTAAGCCTCATGAGCATTATCATATTAATTTAATTGCACAGTTTGCTATATTGCGGCACACATCATTATTCATGATTTTGCCAGAGCAACCGACGAACAAACAAACCGACAGAGTGACGGACAGACCGGCCAGCCAACAGTCAACATGTTTGGCTCCTCACAATTTCGCAAATTCTAGCTAATGGCAGCAGCAGCAGCTCTTCCGTTGCGGCGCACGGTTTTGGCAGCACTGTGAGCTTTGCATTGCATTTGGGGCCACATGAGAGGCTGCGGTCAGCAGGGAGTCGGTGGCACAAAGGGCGGAGGCGGAGGCGGAGATATCGCTCGCTCTCGAATATGGTTTGTGGTGGTGCAGTGAAAGCCAAATGGATTCAATTCGTCGTGAATGCAATGCGAATCGAGACGGAAAATGGAAAATGTGAAATGGAAAATGCAGCAAGCTGAATAGCCAAGGGGACAGTTTGGGCTGGGGGTGTGGCAGCTATCATAGATACCGTTGTGCCGCAGTTGTCGTTGTGAGCTTTATTCAATGCAACATACAATATCGACATGGACGCGCATTATGTGAAGTCCTGCAGCTACTGTTATTGCTCCTCCTACTCCTTCTCCGGCGAGGACGACGACAGGAAACACAATCTATGCCATTTTCTTGCCATTATGCGCTGCGCTCCCCCATTATCGACACCGAACCCATTGACTCCATCCATCGGTCCATCTGTCTGCCTGACTGCCTCACTGCCTCACTGCCTGCCGCCTGTCGGATCTGTTGCAGCGATAACAACGCAACATTTTAAAAGCTTTTCATATTGCCCAGCTGGGTCGCCTAGCTGAACTCAGCTCTCGACTATGTATAATAAATATTGCAATTTTTCACATGATGTCAGCCAATAATTTATTGTCGTTCAGAAATAAATATATATAAGGATATATAAAATAACTTTAAGCACATATTCAGCATTTCATTACTTCGGTTGCTTTTCTATACCTACACATCTCATTTGTAATTGAATATATTTTAAAATATATTTATATGAATGAGCACTAATTAAAAATTTTATCAAATTTATTAAGTTAAATGCATATTATTTTTATTTCAACTTACGTCCAGAAGCCGATTTTAAATCAGAAAAAATAATTAATTATTAAAATCCGTTGCACTATTATTTCCGTTTGATTCTAAACGAATCTCCCAAAAATCGTTAAAAATAAATTAAAAACAATTTTTTTTTTTTTTTCTTTATTGCATTCTATTCTAAAAATGTATTTTTTATATTAAAAAAAAAAAAAAAAAAAAACATCCTTTATATTCCTTAGCAAATCCGCCAGAGCTCAAAGGATAGCACCGGCTCCTCGGACTCGGACAGCTCTAGCGATGATGAATCCCTGCCCAACACAACGCCCAGTCTGCCCAGCGGCAATGAGCCGCCGCCGGACAAGGCCCAGAAGGAGACGGAAGCAGGTGCCGAGATCTCAGCGCTGGTGAACTACGTGCAGCCCATACACTTCAGCTCCTTTGAGAATGCCGAGAGTAGGTGACATCAGCACTGATGCCCTTCGTTTTCTCTAACATCTTTTGTCTCGCTTCCGCAGAGAAGAACCGCTGCTACGAGATGTCCTCGTTCGATGAGAAGCAGGCGACAACTTTGCTGAAGGAGCGACCCATTGAGTTTGTCAACTACAACAAGCACCAGTTGTCCCGGGTGTATCCGGCGGGCACGCGCTTCGACAGCTCCAACTTCATGCCGCAGCTGTTCTGGAACGCTGGCTGCCAGCTGGTGGCGCTGAACTTTCAGACCCTGGACCTGGCCATGCAGCTGAATCTGGGCATCTTCGAGTACAACGCACGCTGCGGTTATTTGCTGAAGCCGGAGTTCATGCGGCGCTCCGATCGCCGGCTCGATCCGTTCGCCGAGAGCACCGTCGATGGCATCATCGCTGGCACCGTGTCCATCACCGTGCTCTCCGGCCAGTTTCTGACGGACAAGCGCGTGAACACCTTCGTCGAGGTGGACATGTACGGCCTGCCGGCGGACACCGTGCGCAAGAAGTTCCGCACCAAGACGGTGCGCGACAACGGCATGAATCCCTTCTACGACGAGGAGCCGTTCGTCTTCAAGAAGGTGGTCCTGCCGGAGCTGGCCAGCATACGGCTCGCTGCCTACGAGGAGGGCGGCAAGCTAATTGGCCACCGGGTGCTGCCCGTGATTGGCCTCTGTCCGGGCTATCGGCATGTGAATCTGCGCTCTGAGGTGGGCCAGCCCATTGGGCTCGCCTCGCTATTCCTGTGCGTCGTCGTCAAGGACTATGTGCCCGACGATCTGTCCAATTTCGCCGAGGCTCTGGCCAATCCCATCAAGTACCAGAGCGAGCTGGAGAAGCGCGACATTCAGCTCTCGGTGCTGACAGATGAGACGGATGCGGTGGCCAATGCCGACGAGGATCTGTCCAAGTCATGTAAGTTTGTTGTGGGATAGTGATTGGAGGTGGCTAAAGGACCCAGGGCTCCACAGGATTTCCGTAGCATTCGAGTTGAATTTTAATTTAATTTCTTTTCTTTCTACTTTTCTTTTGTAACTTTCATGTAACTTTCGGTTAAACTTTTGGATTTTGGATTTGGTTATACGCACACACGCACCCACCAAAAAAAAAAAAAAAAAACACACACACACACACAACTACCAACAACAACACCACCAACACCACCATACAAAACGGTTGACGGACACACAAACTGCACCCAATATAAATTCCCCCGCTACCGCCCAACCCCAACCCAATTCCCCTTTTACTCGCTCGATCTCTCCTCGGTCTATCTCTCTCTCGCCCTCGCTCGCTTTCTTTTCTCTGCTCGATTGTCTCTGATCCTTCAGTCGTTTTCGTCCAAGTAGGTGGCCAAAAAAAGGAACTGCGTCCAGTTGAGTCGCTAGCCACCTCGCCCAAGCATCGGGCGAGCATATCCATAATAACCTCCAGCAGCGTGGAGCAGCCGACGGATCGGCCCGACGGTGGACGCAACGATGACAATGTCTCGATTGTGACATCGGGCATACAGCATCAGCACTCGCTGGACCAGTCGGTGAGCACGTCCATCAGGCAGGTGGAGTCCTCACAGTTCGATGTGGACCTGGTGATAGCCGAGCCGCTGGAGAAGATACTCGAGCACAAGTCGGTGCGCGAGAAGCGGCTGGAGATGGAGAAGAAGCTGGAGTCGTTGCGCAAAAAGCACGACAAGGAGAAACTGAAGATCGCCGGCCAGAAGCTCAGCCCCCTCGACGGGGGCAAGAAGCCCAAGTTCACCATCACCAACAAGCTGGTGAAGCGTCTCAGCAACAAGAGCCTGTAAGTATCCGGCGGGTGACTGCCGCTTCCGGGTTGTGGCCACTGCCAGATGACGCCATTGAAATTAGTAATTGCCTCTCTCCGTACAGTGAGCCGGGCGTCGAGGTGCCGCCGTGCCCGCTCGATCTGGGCGACAGCAGCGAGGGAAGCGCCGGCGCCGGGGAGCTGGGCGACGAGGCCGCCTCCAGCAGCCTGGAGGGCACACAGGAGTCGCGTCTGCGCTACGCCTGCCGCGAGTACACCACACAGTATCGCGAGCTGCAGGAGAAGTATCACGAGGCCATCTACTCGGCCGCCGAGAAGGTGCTGAAGAACTCGCAGGCCAGCCAAACCAAACAGCTGAAGGCCTCCCTCGACAAGGTCACCGGCGAGGTGATGCACCAGCTGCAGGAAGCGCGACGCAATGAGGTCAAGAATCTGGCCACGGTGCACAGAGATCGCGATGAGCTGGTCAGGTAGGCAACTAGAGTCTCGAGAGCATATGTTCTCCCATTATTTATGATTTATTTGTTCCTGCCCCTCTTTATAGAATGAAGCGAGAGGTGGCCAGCTCTGTGGTGGAGCGCGGCGTGGCTGAGCGCATGCGGCTCAAGCAAACATTCGACAAGCGCACGGATGAGCTGCAGAAGCAGCACGAGGCGGTGCGCAATGCTCTAGCCGAGCATCGGCTGAAGGTAGGCGACAGAGGATGCCCTATCTCTATCTCACTATCTACTACTATAGAGGATTAGCCTTTAGTTCATTTAGAGTTCTCCTTGTTAAAAATCATGCCAAAATTTTCAGAAAGCTAGTTCTCTCATATAGGGATAGTCCCTGTAGGCTTCAAACAAATATTTCCATCATAATAAAATATCCCCAATTGTTCGGCAGGCACGTCAAATACTCGACAAGGATGCAGAATCTCGTTGCTGCGTCTCGAACAGTGGCTTCCTGGTGCTCTTCCATGGACCGCATCATCACGGCTGCTCGTCCGGCGGAGCGGGATCAAGCGCCGCTGCTAGCAGTCTGTCGGCGCCCAGCTCTGGCAATAATCTCACATTGAATTTGGATGGCAGGGGAGCGATGGGCAGTGGAGCCGCTGGACTGGCCATATCGCCGGCCAAGTCGCACAACAGCATTACGGCGGAGATGAAGACATAAAATGCACGACAACAATAAAGAAGGAAAAAACAGAAAAAAATACAAATAAAATACGATCGAAAAGTAGCACAAGTTCTTCAGTTTTCAGTATTCGCGGCAGTTGTGTTAAAAAAAAAAAAAAAAAAAAATGGAAAAATGGAAAACAAAATAAAGTCTTCGTAGCGTTTAGTTTAATAGATCTAAAAATTAACTGTAAACTGTATACTGTAAACTGTAAACTGTAACTGTAAACTGTAACTAAAAAGGGAAACTCGAAACGTTTTCTAACTGAACAAACTAGCTGTAGAACTTTCCTGGCATGTATATCTATATGTATATACTGCATACATGTCTATGTAGTATAACTGTAATAGTCGGTGTATTTATTATGTATGTGAATGACTTATATGTTTACCTATATATATATACATATATAACTATACATCTATGTATAGATAGTATCTATTAGATACATACAATAATTCTCTATAATTCTATCTCTAGACCGAAGTCGTACGGTTTCTTCCTATTCGAACTACGCTGAAACTCTGAGTGTCTAAAACTTTAAGCATATAAACTATATATAATTTATTTAACTTAAAAATGAAAGAAAAATGAACAAAACATAAAAAGAGGGAAACTCACTTTTGAGGCAAAGAAAGGGAAAGGGAAAGAGAAAGGAATCGAGAGAGGTTAAAGGGAAGAGCGACTGCCTCTATCGCTCTTCCCCCCTTGCGCTCTCGTCATGTGCTCCATTTCTACTATTTAATGTGGTTGTGTGTATTACTTTTTATATATCAAATTTACTTTTACAATAATTTATATGAATATAGTATATACCTATACTCGTATATATATATATATATATATTGATTTAATTCTCTCGCACAAATTTGTGAAACGAATCTCGCGCAATGTAGAACTTAGCGCCGAGGCAATTCTCGGCCAACATTTTAGTCAATTTTGTTCAATATTTATTTGATACGTTTTCTTAGTCACTAAACTTACGTATTTTGTTTTAGTTTTCTACGCATTTTTCTTAAGTAAATAATAAAAAAAAAATTTTTTGTTGAAATGTTATTTTTCTTCTTTTTAGGTTTTTCACACTTCCCAAGCTCTAACATACACACACGCACACAGTCACACACAGCTGCACAGACACAGCCTATACAACACCAAATACAAAAAAAAAAAAAAAAAAAAAAAAAAAATGGCGCCGCACTGCCTCAAGCTGTGCGCGCCCTTAGCGACAATCAAAAAGAAAATGAAAATGGAAAACTTTATTAGCGAAAACTTGTGAACCGGACTAAATTTGATTTGTAGGTAAACCCAAGCTGCCTTGTAACGAAATCCAAAATTTACAGAGCCACAACTGAAACGAAAATCTTTACCAACTATAATATATGTATATGCATACATGTAATGAGAAAAAATCAAAAAACAAACGAAAGAAACAAAAACAAATTAAAAATTTAATGAAAATATTGAACAAGTATAAAACGAAAGTTGAAAGAACATTTCACTGGACGGCAGAACCACCTTAGATGTTGTAATTTCCTATGCTAAAAAAAAAAAATAAAAATTAAAAACAAACAAATGAGAAAACACTTTCCAAACGCTACGTGAGTAGAGAAATTTGAAAAATGCCCCGCCTACTTCCCAAATACCGCCCACTAATTGTTGTACGTGTGTAGAGAAAAGAAATACCCGAAAAATTCCTAGCGTCAAGCCCCTCCCCGCCCCGCCTCCACCCCCTTGTCCTAATTGAGCAAAAAATATAAAAATAGGTGAATACAATATATAAGTATGTGTGTTTTATTATGTTTTTTGTGTTGCTTTATTGCATAATAGTCACGTCTAAATGTCTATGAACTTTAATCGAATTGGCAACACAATTTTCTATATATATGTGTATGTTTATATGTATGTGTATGTGTGTGAGTGCATTACCAATTGGCCCACAATTCCAAATAGTAGAGCAAACAATATATACAAGCAAAAAAGTATTGAATAACAAACAAAACAAAAATCAAGTAAATAGTTTTTTGGTGTTGTATGTACATAAGTCCATAAGCATAAATAAAACTGTATCTGTGTGTTGTCGTTGCTGTTGTTGTTTGTTGTTGTTGTCTTTGGTGTTGTTCTTGTTCAAAGTTACCAATTCAATGTTGTAGTTACTTCCTCAATTCAAATTTATCTTTTTCATTTTTCATTATGAAATCAAAATAAGAAAAAACAAACAAACAAAAAAAGTGCATGTGCCCAATTTTTCGTTTTGTTTGATTTGTTGTTGTGCGTTTCATAAAATAAATTCCTTACGAAATGCAAGAAGGAATAGGAATGTTGAAAGTAAAAGAAAAAGCAAAAACGGTGTAAAACACCAAAAGAAGAAAGAAGAACTTAAGTAAAATTAGGCCACAATAATACAAAAATGAAAATTGTATGTTATGAATCGAGAGGATTTGAGAACAACAAACGAATTTGTTGTTGCATAAGTATTAAAATGAAAAATAAAATGAAATAAATAAATAATTTAGCTAATTAAATGTTTAGACCAAGTGCTCCCCATTGTTAAAGTATAGAAAATACATTTACAGTTTTACAAACGATCTCTAAATGTCAAGCAGAATTTAAATAACGTTTAAATGCATATTAACGATTTACAGTTATGCACTGAAAATACAATTCAAGTTAAAAAATAAACCCCTAAATACATTGAAACGCCCTGAGATTGGAGTTTAACTTGTTCTGATTAGCCATTTAATTAATTAGAGCTGCAAAAATGTCTCAAAACTCACTTCATAATTGGTGCAACCAGAACTAAAAATGGCTGCTGAAGAGTCACTCAAAGAACAATTCGCTGTGCAGAAGATACAGCGAAAAGTAAAATTCCAGCAAATACGATTCTCACTCAAGTAAAATATCAATAAGCAATCGAGTGAGTAAAGCTTCTGATCTCTGCGCATTGGTCTGACTCAAAATGAAAGCTGCATAAACATGGCGGTCTCGCTCACTCAACGAGTGAATCGCTGTGCGAGAGGAGCAGCTCGATGTGCATTGGTCAAGCTGAAAGTGCTATGCCGGAAAGCTAACTCATAGAGAATATCTAAAGCCGGCAGTAAAGCTATTGAGTAAAAGTTTTTGAAATCAAGACTCAATTCTTTTGCATATTTTCAAACTTTATTTTGAGTACACTTGAGTAAAATATAAATATCAAAGCGATACTATGTACATTGAGTTAAAATCAGCTACAGTTAGTCTCTCTCAATATCAAAGTTTAAAGCATCAGGAATTGAGCAAAAGTGCAGTTAGACTCAAGTGAGAGCTAACACAGCGTTGCCAACTACTTTATCATTAGGCAGTTGGCAGTTAAAGTTTGAATCAAGAAAAATAAGAAAGGAAAAAGAAAACAGGGCGAAAAACAAGTTAAAGCTAATGAAACTAGAAAACAATGTAATTTCCAATAAATAAATAAACACATAATTTACATTGGAGTTGATTAGTTAAATGTCAAAGTAATTGAAATACGAGAATTGAAAACTAAAACTTAAAAACTAAAACCTAAATTTAAATCGAATTAATCCACATTGTTGTTGTGATCTGCAGAAACCAAAATAAACGTTAAACAAACAGAATTACCTTAAAAACACACAAAGACTTTAAATTTATTTTCTGCTTCGCTCTAACAGTATTTGTATGTAAAAAACATCGACATTCATGTGGTAAAAACTTACAGGTAATATAAACTTGTTAATAAAATAATTTCGCTTTGATATGCCCGTCTTACAGACCATGGCTAAATTTTGACACAAAATGGGACGTTAAAAAATATATGTACGTATATAGAGACAATAATTGATTAACTATTAATTTGATTACACTATGATTAAGGCACCTAGCAGCTTGGGGGAGTGGGGGCGCAAGGGCGTGGCAATCGAACGGTCACAGCATCTGGACAAAGGCCAAGCTGACTAACGAGCCAATGACCATGCCCACGCTCAAACAGGCGGCCATTATAGACGCCGCCAGCTCCTTCTCATGCTGCTTGACGGATCTGTAATGGCGAAATTCAAATATAAGAGTTTGTCTTTTACAGGGTATTCGGACTAGGCACTCACCTGGGCGCCATGATGAGCAGTATATTGGTCAAGTATCCATTGGATAGTGCAAATATCACAACCATGGCCATGAAGGTGTAGTCGTGCTTCACCAGCGTGGGCAGAAACTGATGCTCACTGCTGTTGGCGCAGAGGAAGCAGGGCACGAGAGCCATACGCACCACGGTCCAGAGGAGCGTCGTGTACTGATTCTTGGGGCACTCCAGCCAGCCGGCCAGGAGGCGGCCGAAGTAGTCGCCGCAATTGAAAAACAGATAGTTCACCACGGGCAAGTAATAGACATCTGGGAGGGCAGAGAAATATAATGGAAATGTGAAGCAAATCTCTGGGGGATTCAGTTAGTCAGCTCCACATACCAGTCCACTCGCTGTGATTGGCGGAATGTTCGGATTGCATAAGTACAGTTACCGCCGGATAGACGGACAGTGTTGTGGCGTACAGCAAAACGAGGCACGAGGCCTGCACGTAGATCTTGCCCAGCACCTGCTTAAAGATCGGCTCGAGTGCCACGCCCGTCTCCTCTCCCTCCCGGCTGTGAGAGGGCGGCAGAGCGCTGATCACCTTGAACTTATCGCCGCCCGCCAGATAATACTTGAAGTACGCCTGGCGAGCCATCAGCACGTAGCAAACGATGCAACCGAGGATGACCAGCGCGCCCATAATGAAGAACACAAAGGCCGTGGCCGAGGGTCCGGTGTCGAAGGCGAGCACCAGGAGGAGGGCCAATGCCGTTATAATACCGCCCAGCGCCTGGCCGCTGACCACAGCCGTCATATACTCCGAGGGAAACAAGCCAGCGACGCCATACAGAGCGCCCGACATGGTAGCAGCAGAAACTGGCAATATGCATTAAAATGGATGAATGAGCTGAGATATAGAATCCATATGCATATGTATGGGAATTCGTCCACTCACTGTTGAGGATGACCACAATGATGAGGGTGATCAGAAAGAACTGCTCCTGCCAGCGATCCGTGTTCACCTCCACGAAGCCCGTCGTGATGCCAAAGAGCACGAGGATCGTGAGCAATGTGCCCAACATCTTGGTGCGCAGCGACACATGGTGGCCATAAACAGCATTCAGCAGCAGGAACGTGGTGCCTGATATGGTCGCCGTCAAGGCCAAGTC